GCATATTATGCTTTTTTCCTTTTTCTTTTTTCTTTTTTTGGGTGCAAATAGAACTTCAGAATGCAATGAATTCAAGTGTTCCAAAGAACGAACACTATGGATCCCACCAATCACATCGTAAAATTCGCTATCTTCAATGATAATTAATAACCCAGCTTAGTGGTTTAGAGAATAGTTGAGTACAGACTGCTTTACATATAACCGGGAACCTGTCCACCTGAATATGGAATTCCATCTGCTTTTCAATGGTATCCAGTCTTGTGACGGAAAGCTCTTAATGTCAAGATGTCTACGGCAATGCCATGATTTTCCTTCCCCTCAATTAGATGGAGAATATTTCCAATAACAGCAAAAGAATAAGGAGAAGAGATTCCCTGCCACTGTGCACCTGCATGTATGTTGAGATGATCCGAGGTTTTGATCCTGACGGCTTCATCTCCATCTACATCATTGAACATATTTAGTGGGGGGAAAAAAAGAATCGCCACTTTACACGTCCCATGAGAACATGTATAGCGATACGTGTAACTTTTAGAAAGAAATAACGTGTAAGCGAAATGTCACTTGTGAATTGTTGCGAGCTATGTTCAAGCGTCAATGTGAAGGGAATGATTCAATAATGGTTGGTTAACTATTTTGGCACTATGGTCTCCATTATATGCATTGAGAATCAAAGATGGGTTGAGATTTAAGTGGTGCTACTCGTAAGAGTCATAACTTAGCCCTCGATTGGTAGCAAATTTTCATCCCAAAAAATCAATTTTTTGACTGTTATTTTACTATTTCAACCGTCATTTTTATTTCTTCACTCACATGTAGGACCTACTTTTCATTCTAACGGTCAAAAAATCAATTCTCATAATCTCTTTATATGGCTGACTGACATACATTTTGAGCACAATACATCTCAACTTCGTTTGGATTTGATTAGTTAATAGTTTCTAGTTCTATCCAAACACAAAAGTTTAGAATAGAATGAAGTAACTTCACAAACTCCGACTCCTTAACCACTAAATCTAGATACTTTAGTTCAATTTGAAGTACAGGTTCAATTTAGACATTGGCCTCTCATTAATCCATCACATTTCGATTAACACAGGTGTATTTTCATTATCTCTTTCGAACTTGAAGAATGGATCGAATAAAATCTTTGTTGCCAGGTTCAAATTTAGAGAAGGTTTTAAAAAAGAAAGATTACAGTTGAAATCGCTTATGCCAGGGATTTTTTTGAGTTCTTTGGTGTTCTGATAAGTTGCAAATGGCCAGATCTGAAATCCTTTTTTGATTGGTCTATAAAGGAGGGGGGGGGAAAAAAGAAAAAAGAAAAAAGAAATAGGATTAGTGTTTTATATGACTTGGCAATTGATCGCTTAATTTTGTGCTTACTGCCAAAGTGTGGCTTTTCGCTCATGCTTAGGCGCACTTTTTAGAACACTAGTTACAGGGACTCTGAGACAGATGCCACTAACTCGTGCTTGGGAAACAAACCAAGCAGTGCGGAAATAGAGAAAATGATGAGAGATTCAGCAATAGCTAGACATGCTTCTTCAGTCAAGTTTCTTGATCGGAATCTAGCCCTAGTAAGTTGTGATACATAAGCGTTTGTTTTAATTAACTGATTTAGAACTTAAAAGTTTCCACTATCTACTGTATTGTGCCCGCAAGCAAGAGGGAAGATCAGAATGGCTGAGAAGGCTTTACTGAAACTACAGGGATATCTGAACCTGTTGAACTACGAAACCATAAGTGATGAGGAGAGGTTTTTGTTCCGTAAGATTCGTCTGAGCATAAAACCTTATTTGCTTCTAGGTAACGATTTAATCACGTAATATATTATTGGGTTACAGAATGGGGCTCGTTGTTCTTTTTGAACATTTTCAGGAACCAAAGCACTATATATCAGACTAGCTGGAAAAAATGGAGAAGCTGAAGCATGAGCCAGCAAGCTCAATCTTAGTCCCAAACATCTAATGATTAGTTTTCATTACTGGTGATATAATATACAGGAAAATATGGATACCAAAGTGAAATTGACAGAGACTGTCGCCGAAATTATATACCAAGAATTTTGAATCGTGCAATCTGAGCTCAGTTTCACAATAAACCGAATCAAACACCATGCAATCGAACCGTTCAAACCCACAACTATTTATATCACTTTGGCTGCCCTCTTTTGTAATGATGAAGGACACGGTTATAGTGACTGTAATTAACCACAAAGGAAGAGAGAAGGAAAGCAAAGGCTCAACACTTACCAAGAACGGCTTCCCTCTTTTCTCACAACATGTTTTCCAACAAATATCGATTAGGGAGTATAAAGTTCGACCACAAATAGGTAAATGGGCCAAGAAATATATGGACCATCCATTATTAAGTGAAACGGGCCATGAGCAACCTTCATTAATTAAGTTGCCTACAATGATCCAAATTGTTTTCGGGTTGAGCCAACGCATTGCCGTATTAGATTGTGTAATTTCCACTTGATATAATTAATCCAATCCATTATAATATTATCACTCAAGATTTACTGAATGTCAAAACCTAAAAGAAATCTTGTACGTGAGGATAAATAATGCATCTGATGACAATGATGATGAAGATATGGACGAGGTGAGATGAAGTTCGGGCTATTGTATCACTTTAATGCAATCCTTTTTGTGAAACATGTCTGATCATCTTTTAGCTTTTGCAATTTCAGGGTGTCATTTGATTTCCCTGCAGGGAATCTTAATTAATCGTGTTCATGAATTGATTAACACACGCTTCACTTAAAGAAGAAAGGAATTTAACAAATCAATTAAAAAAAAATATTACAAACCGTGGTTGAAAAACATAAATTTGCAGTCTGCAGATCACATAGTAAATCAAATAAAAACAAAGTCCTATTTTCTGCCACTTCATTCAATTTAGTGAAGGTTTTAAAGAAGAAATATTACAGTTGAAATCACTGATGCCATGGAATTTTTTTGAGTTCTTTGGTGATCTGATAAGTTGCAAATGGCCAAAATTGAAATCCTTTTTAGATTGGTCCATAAAGGAAAGGGGAAAAAAATGAAAACAAAAATAAAAATAAAAATAAAAAATAAAAAAATTTAAATAGGATTAGTGTTTTATATGACTTGGCAGTTGATTGCTAATTTTGTGCTTACTGCCAAGGTGTGGCTTTTCGTCTAGGCGTACTTTTTAGAACACTAGTTACAGGGACTTGTTGAGACAAATGCCGCTATCTCATGCTTGGGAAACAAACCAAGCAGTGCAGAAATAGAGAAAATGATGAGAGACTCGACTATAGCTAGACATGCTTCTTTAGTCAAGTTTCTTGAGCAGAAGCTAGCCCTAGTAAGTTGTGATAGATAAAAACGTAATATATTATTGGGGTTACTGAACCGGGCTCATTGTTCTTTTTGAACATTTTCAGGAACTAAAGCACTATATATCAGACCAGCTGGCGAAAATGGAGAAGCTGAAGCATGAGCCAGTAATCTCAATCTTAGTCCCAAACATCTAATGATTAATCTTAATACTGGTGATGTAATATACAGGTAAATATGGAGACCAAAGAACCAAGATATAGATAATATCAAGAGGCTAAATATAAATAAAAAATTATGATGAAAATGAAGGCTCAAGCACGACATTATATCGCTGTCTTCAAACGATATTTGCTCCCTATCGGAAACAATTTTGGTGCTTGAAGGGTCTCGCGGCAAACGGTTCGAAGGATTGATCAAACCTTGTTGTAGAAAATCACAAAAGCACAAATGATTTTCTACCCGAACTTGAAGAACACGAGGGAAGAATTGAATATGGAAGAAAGGATGTGTCATCATTTTTGTGGAATGAAAATAATGTTTCTCATATATTTGTAATGATTTTTTTCACTATTTTACAATGTCCATCTATCACATATATATGGGCATGGATTGTAGCTTCATGAAGTGGTCTCAAAAAATAATGAAAAGCCGCCAAATACCAAAATTGGAAAACTGTGTAATGACTAATTTTCCCTCTATGCGGTCACATAGAGTAAACCTATGCGACCGCATAGGTTCTTTCAAAGTAGGGCCTTTAGGCCCTGTATACCACCATGTGACCACAAGTGGTTCAAGTTTTAGCATCCGGTTTTCACTTGTATTCTACTTTTTTTCCTTTTCTATTCCACACTCGTTTAATATTGATTTTTGAACAATATTTTCATCAGAGACTGTCGCCAAAATTATATACCAAGAACTTCAAATCGTGCGATCCCGCCGATCCAGGCTCAGTTTCACAATAAACCGAATCAAAGGCCATGCAATTAAACGACTCAAACCCACAACTATTTATATCATTTTGGCTGCCATCTTTTGTACCCACAAAGGACACGGTTATGGTGGCTGTAATTAACCACAAGGGAAGAGAGAAGGAAAGCAATGGCTCAACGCTCACCAAGAACGGCTTCCCTCTTTTCTCAAAATTCAATTGCGCACACGCTTCCAGCAAATATAGATTAGGCATAAGTATAAAGTTGGACCACAAATAGGAGAATGGGCCATCCATTAAGTGAAACAGGCCATGAGCAACCCTCATCAGTTAAGTTGCTTAAAATGATCCAAGTTGTTTACAGGTCGAGCCAACGCATTGTGGTATTGATATAATGAATCCAACCCATTTTAACATCATCACTTATGATTTATTGAGTGTCAAAACCTAATAGAAACCTTGTACTTGGGGATAAATAATGCATCTGATGAGAATGATGAAGATGTGGAAGAGGTAACATGAAGTACGGGCTTCTGTATCACTATAATGTAATCCCTTTTGTGAAACGTATCTGTCCATCATTTAGCTTCTGTAGTTTCAGGGTGTCATTTGATTTCCCTGTAGGGAGATTTAATTAATCATGTTCAACAATTGATTAACACACGCTTCACTTAAAGAAGAAAGGAATTTAACGAATTAAACCAAAAAAAAAAACAGAAAAACAAAAAAATAGAAAGACAAAAAAAGACAAACCGCAGTTGAAAAAAACATAAATGTGCAGATCACACAATAAATCAAGTAACAACAAAGTCCTATTTTCTGCCACTTCATTCAATTTATTGCTTTGTCTAAGGGAAGATGATCCAAAGAAAATAAATCATTAATTTTCACAACACACAACACATAAAAATAAAATTCAAATGCATAGTTTAGAGACCACTAAACTATTCAGAGGCATTTTTTCCCTGCTGCAGACACTGTTCCTTTATGAAAGGCAAAACGACTGAAACTAGTTCCTCTTGATGGGACGTGTATACATGATCAGCTCCTTCTATGATTTGCAATCGATTGTTCGGTATGATCTTGGCAAACTCCGACGCATCTTCGACTGGAATGACTTCATCAACTGATCCATGAACTATCAACACCCTGCATGTAAGTTCCAACAACTCAACTTTCCATATTTATATAGGATTACTTCAAATCTCATGAGGATGGAAATGCAGATATAATGCACGAGGCATCATACTGGGCCAGACGTGCGCCCACTACTGTCTACTTCGGTTTCTAAATGCACCGAGTTTAATGAGTTCAAAGGAAGTCATAAGCTCTCGAAACAAGGTGGAAAAAGATAGCAGTATGAGATCATATTGTTCAAAGTGAAAGAGGAGAACATAGCCAGTTCAGATGAAGAACCGATGAAAAATAATCAGGGAAAATACTAACTCCCATTTGAACAAGTATGAAGCACAAAATCTATAGCATGACTGTTCTCAAATATTCAGAGCTTGATAGTGAAGACTAGAAACAAAAATATTTAAAATTCAACAACTCAACATCAATATTACCAGTCAGTGAAGCTGAACTTTCTGAACTTCAAGTTAACTTTGAAACAAGTCTAGAACAATATCTCACTTATGTGAAGAATATTATTAGCAGCTGCTAAATTGAATCTCCATTATGACCAAGATATAATTTGTGCCTTATAGTAGTTTCACATCTCAGTTTTTACCCTCTAGATCATTTTAAGGGTTCATGGCAATGCCAACAGCAGATAGGAAGCTATATTTTTGTACAGTTGACTCAATTGTTCATAGGAAATGACATGCTTATTAGCGACCTTGCTTCATAACAAGGCTAACAGAAAGCAATTTCCCTTCACTTTTCTTTCTGGCACTAGATACACCAATTGTATTATTGGTAAATCGAGAGAGAGACTGACTAAATCACAAGAACGAGGCAAACGAAAAGGATTCGCAGTTTAATTTTGCAGGTGACTTAGACTTAGGACCCATTCAATCAGAAGCAGCTTCACTGCTCTGGGAAAACTATAATACCCAGACCTTTAACGAATAGAGAATATCCCATTATATAGAGATCCAGCTCAACTAGGAATTAGACTCTTAACACAGAAATAACGAGCTTCATAAATTTGTGTCACTGTATTCACACATTGATATAACAAAAATCATAAAAGTTTATTATAAAATGAAATTAGCATGAAATGAGTTTTTATAATTCTGTTTAGCTGTATTCACGCGTCAGATATAACAAAAACATTTATCACAAAAATCAATATCGTCACTGTAAAGCATGACCAAAAACGTATCTTTTGATTGATGAAAAACTAAATTCAAGGTAACCTGCATCTCTTGTCAATTGAAAGACATGCTTCATGCATGTTTGTATTAAGCCGCTCCATCAAACTCTCCTTGGTGACTTTGAAATCGAATTCTCCTATAGAAAACAAGATTCGGTCAAAACTTGCCCGCAAGGAGCAGTTACCGCTCATATATTATATAAAAAATAGAAAACAGACAAACCATGATCCATGTTGTGCAACAAAAAGTAATGAGGAATTCATTCAACTTGCTCTAGAGAGGATCCCATGAATAAGTTAAAAACTAATATAAAGGTTGCACTTGAGCAAACCATAAAACATGTTTTGCATTTAACACTTGGTGCCATTCTTATTTAAACTTTCATAAACTATATACAACAATAACAAACTAATTGCAAAGTATCCCAATTGAGACATTGTTGAATAGGCTAAACCTTTTTAACGTCTTTTCCAACAGAGCTAAAGTAGCTCCTAATAATACGGAAGGAATATATGATGGCGCTTCATCATCCATAAATTGATGTGTCTATTCTCCATTTCGTTAATAATAATTTATAACATAAAAAGAATTAGAAGATATCTACATCTCTATCTATTCGAGTTAACTACTAGTAGGGAACCCTTGGTCAAAACCTTGTATGGACCTAGATACTTCAACGTGGTCCTCCTAAATGACCAACTCATGATTCATTAATCATAGTTCCATACAAGAAGGGATGTCCAAACAACAGAGAAAAAAGGAAAAAAGTATATAAAAAATAATAATTCTTGGGATCCTATCCCTAATTGACGACCGTTCTTGAAAGATTATACCCCCTCTCAAATTGAATAGTTTGGTTTGACTTGGATCAGATGTTTAGGATATGGGATATGGGAAGACTTACTGATACTTTTTACTCTTGAAAATGTCAACTTGGTCCCAGTTCATCTGTTAATGAAAATAACTTCAAAGAGAGGATGTAAAAGACTATTAATTTTGTGTAACTAATTACTTTGCAGGTAAGAGCTTTTTGTCATTTATGACAGACAATAAACATTTCCAGAGCCCTATTTTTCCTTAAATGGTAGATATTTCAAAGTTACAATTGTAAACAGCACATTCACGTATTGCTTCAGAAAAAGAGAGAAGGTTAAGCAGAATAAGAGAGAAGGTGAATTCAAGATTGCAAGCAACATGATAATTCTTTAGTTTAAAGTCACTATCTTTAATTTGAAATTAGAAACTCAAGAAATTTCAACAGGAGATGCTACATAACATATAACCCATGATCACCTTTTTTATTTTTGATATTGACGTATCCATCCCTCTCTATTCTTTCTAAGACCTCTTTACCCAAGCGCTGTTCAATGCCTCTCTTGAGATCATAGCGGCCAGAAACATTGACCACACTAGGTATATCATGATATTTTGATGCATATAAGAGTACAACATTGCCACCTGCATTTCTCCCAGTAATAGGCAGAGAATCAACTGGTCAACACAATGCACCCAAGCAGAATTAACAATTCAGGTCTAGCATGTAAATTTCCAGATATCACATCATGTTCTGATATGGCAGCACAAATTTTAAGAAAGATAAATTAAAACTCTATCACAGAAAAAGAAAACAAATCACCAACCTCAATATGAACACGTTTCTAAGCTAACTATTTGGGCCAGATGCATGTTCCCATGTTAAGTTGCTTGTCATTACTAGCTATGCATTTCTTCAGTACACATAATTAAGACATCTTTCTTATATAGAAAATGCATACATATAGAAGTTGGAAAGTTGTGGAAAAGTTAAAAATAAGTTAGAAGGAAACATAAGTTACACTGATATCAAAAAGGTCAACAATTAGCTGAAATTGGTAATCTAGGTTACAGATCATTGCAATGATGATGCCATGTGAATCGCTAGAAACATGTGAAGTGTATGGCTAACCCAATAACGAAAGTTACGTAAGGGGACTAGAAACTGGGGACGGGATGTGTAGGCTTATTTTGGCAATTCTCGATGTCCTAAATGTGTAAGGAACTCTCATTAGTTATTTTGATGGATAATGAAACACAATAAAATATTTAGTTATGAGTACAAGTTGGTGAACCTTTACTGTGCCCAAGAATTGCAGCTACTGTACGGTTTGCTCCAGTAAAATATTCTATCACAGCTCGTAAATCTTCTGCTTCTCTAAATTCGTTACCAAACTGAAGCGAACCTTCACTTTCCCTGGATATCAACTATCAACATGAAACCAAAACTTGTAGAAGAAAATTACCCAAGTATGTCGACAGACTGCAAATTTGACAAATTCAAGAGGAAGAGGAAAAAATTATAATAAGATAAGGGTAAAAAAGAACAAAAAATGGTCAAATTCAGCTGGAACTGCAACGACAAATAAATAACTTGTTCATTCTCAAATTTCTTATCCTAACTGTCATATGGATTCACTTTACCATAAGAATAATAGGCTATGGAATGTAAAAGGCTACATTTACGAACCTTCACTTTCCCTGGATATCAACTATCAACATGAAACCAAAACTTGTAGAAGAAAATTACCTAAGTATGTCGACAGACTGCAAATTTGACAAATTCAAGAGGAAGAGGAAAAAATTATAATAAGATAAGGGTAAAAAAGAACAAAAAATGGTCAAATTCAGCTGGAACTGCAACGACAAATAAATAACTTGTTGATTCTCAAATTTCTTATCCTAACTGTCATATGGATTCACTTTACCATAAGAATAATAGGCTATGGAATGTAAAAGGCTACATTTTGCTTAAACCAATCCAAAAAGTTTTAGCACTAATCTAGGTTTTTATTTTATAGCAATTATTTGTCATCCAACAAATTTCCAGCAGAAGTTTCAAACAATGTCACTGATTCAGAAAAATTAGTGACAGAATTCATTAGTAGAATTTTATCAGCCTCCATAAATTGTTGCTTAGCTTCCTCGCATTGATAGCCCCAAGAAGCTACTATTTAGCATTTCAATTTTCCCTCAAAAAGAAATTTGCAATTATATATGAAAGAGGTATCTTGAAAAAATTGGGTTTGATGAACATTTAATGCAAAGGATTCAAGAAACTAGATCATCTTGGTCAAATGTGATTCTCATTAGAATAAACAACAGCACCGTAGAGATCACAAATTTGGCCCAAAATTTGCAACTTTCACAAATTTAATTAGCTGCACTTCGATTATTGAACTCAACTCACTGGAATAGTCATTAGTGCCAAATTTTGCGGAATGAGTCTTTGTTATGTATTGCCTTACATTTAGGTATTACCAACTATACATGGAAAGTAATTAATCCCAGATTCTATGCTATTTAATTATGTTATACGAGGAAACTCAAATAATTAAATTGCTGAAGATACGTGTGCTGCAAATTATGCCCCAAAAAAAATTGATGGCGGTGAGTCCACAAGCATCAATTTACTAACGAGAAAATTATGACAAAGGCAAGTCAGAGATTTGGTGAAGATATTTGCGAGTTGGTGAATGGTGGAAACATGAGGAAGAGTGATGATCTTGGAATTATAGGCATCCCGTATGTAATGACAGTCCACTTCGATATGTTTGGTGCATTCATGATACAAAAGATTAGCCGTAATCTGAATAGCACTAGTGTTGTAACCATGGTGTGGTATAGGTTGTGATTGGGGAATACCAAGTACTGCTAGACGTCCTTACAACTACACAATCTTAGAATAGGCAACCGACATAGCACACTATTCAGCCTCATTGGAAGACCTAGAAACACAATCTTGTTTCTTACACTTCCAAGAAATAAGAGTATCTCTTAGAAAAATATACCATCCAGTAGTAGAACGATGAGAATCTGGGCAACCAACCCAGTTAGCATCACTGTAAGTAGTGACCTTAAGACATGTACCCTTAGAGAATAAAACACCACGATGAGTTCCTATAAGCTATCAAATAATGTAGTGTACAACTGCCAAACGAAGATGAAAAAAGGTGCACCCATAAATTTGCTGACAGTATGATATTCGGACATGTGATTGTGAGATAAATGAAGCTCCCTACCAACTTTCGATACAGAGTAGGGTCTCGAAGAATATCACCTTTATCTTTTCTATACTTAACATTCAGCTCCAACGGAGTATCAACTGAAGATGTTTTAGACAAATTTCCCAACTTAATTAAGTCTTGAGTATATTTATGTTGCTATAAGAAAATACCATGCGGAGTTGCATGAACCTTTAAACCAAGGATATAAGTAGGATGACCAAGATCTTTCATATGGAAAATCGAGTGAAGATGCTCCTGAAACTTTTTAATAAGAATGTGATTAGATCAAGATATAATAATATCATCTACATATACCAACAAACAAACGACACCAGCAGAATTCTTGTGAAGAAATAGGGATGCGTCATAGACTCTGAGTAAAGGAAAAATCTAAAAGAGTGCGATGGAACTTGTTAAACCATACTCGAGGGGCTTGCTTAAGATCATACGAAGAGGTTTTGAACAAACAAACAGAGGTAGCTGAGGGAAAAGGCATATCAGACCGAAGTTTCATATAAATGTCTTTCTTAAGATCTCCATGCAAGAACGCGTTCTTCACATCCATTTGATGTAAAGACTAGGACTATGAAGCAACAAGTGATAACAAGAGGAGAACGTAGTCATTTTTGCCACGGGAGCAAATGTCTCATCATAGTCGATTCCATTTTCTTCACGATTACCCAAAACAACTAACCAAGCTTTATAGCGCTCAAGAGAACCATCGGAACAAAGTTTAGCCAAACATACCCATTTACTACCAATGGGTTTCATATTCTATGTACATGGTATAGCATCCCAGATTTGGTTAGCCTCAAGAGCCTCAAGTTCTACATTCATTGCCGGTTGCCAACACTCTTGCTCCATAGCCTATTTATACGAGGATGGAATGAAAATTGAATTAAGAGTAGTAGACATAGAGCTATAGGAGAAGAAACCATACATACCTGGTGTTCAAGAAACACGAGGTGTGACGAAGGGGGACTGGAGGTGGCTGATCATCTAGTGCAAGATTTGATGTCGTAGGTGGAGGATCAAAGAGGTTGGGGGACAATCACATGAGAAGGAAGCTCTGGACTAGTGACAAGTGTAGCATGCCTGCAAGTGTAAACAAGACTCGGCTTGTACCGAGGATTTTATAGGAAAATCAGGCAAGGAAAAGAACATAGGAGGGGAAACCACACTCTTTGAAGTGAAGTATGCTTGTTTTTCAAAGAAAACAACATTACAAGAAATCCGAATATGAATTGTTTTAGGATTATAACATATATACCCTTTTGAGTCCCACCATATCCTAAAAAGACACACTGGACCGATTCAAGGGTGAGTTTGGCCCCTTTCATGTGACTATAAATGAACAAAACTCACACATCAAAAGGAAAAGAGATGAGAATACGTGGAATGATGATCAAAGAGATTATAAAATGGAGAAGCGTTATGAAGAGTGGAAAAAGGTAGTCGATTTATGAGATGTACAGCGGTAGACGAAACTTCACACCAAAAACGAGAAGGAATGGAAGACTCAATCAAAAGAATTTGAATAATATCAAGAAGATGACGATTTTTATGTTCTACCACATCGTTTTGTTGAGGGTAGAAGGATAAGATCGTTGAGAGATAATACCCTTAATTTGTAAGAAAGATTGAAAAACACAAAACATATATTCACCTCCAAAATCAGATCTTGAGATTTTGATTGAGGAGGAAAATTTGATTTTCAATGAGAACAAGGAAAGCCTGAAATGCAGAGAATACCTCACTTTTTGCACAAAGAAAATAAACTCATGTGAAGTGACTATAATTATCAATAAAAGTAACAAAATATTTATAATGAACATAAGATATCAAAGGTGCAAGACCCCATACATCGCTATGAACCATATCGAAAATATGCAAAGCACGAGAACTATAAGACGGGAACGGTAAAATTTTACTTTTAGCGAGCTTCCATGAAGCGCAATCAAGAGATATAGACGAAACTGAAGCAATGCACTTATTACCAAATAAACCAAAATTTAATAAGTGTTGTAACACATTATGATTGGGATGTCCCAATTTCTTGAGCCAATCAATGATCTCTAAAGTGACAGAATTACAAAAAATTGGAAAACAAAAAAAAGGTATCGGTGAAATAAGAAAGAGATGTCCCTCCTTAAACCCCTTCATGATTGTCCAGACACCTGATTGTGCAGATGAAAACAGAAGAAGAAAAAGATACAGCACAATTTTTATCAACAAGTTAACCAACAGATATAAGATTAGTTGATAAATCAGGGAAAACTAAAACATAAGGCAAATTTGGTGATATATTGCCAATGGCGGAGATAGGAAGAGTGTTACCATCGGCAACGTGTATATTAAGAGGTCCAATATATAGTCTTAAGTTACTAAGTAGTAGAGGATCATGAGTCATATGATTAGAAACTTCGGAGTTTAATAACCAAGAAGAACGAGCAGCTAATGGCTTACTTGAGACACTAAAGACAGATAAAGCAGAGACAATCATTTGTTGAATCATCTCAAGAGTGATAGTAGTTTGAGAGGGACTGGGAGAGGCCAGGTTCGGGTGGTGGAGCATATCTAGAGGCCAAAGTGGCAGCAGCAACATAATTTGTTCCAACCTTGCGTGGAGGATGAGTGGGACACTCATCAATAACATGTCCAGACTTCTTGCAATAATTGCAAACTTTTCTCGGATACTAAAGAGCCATGTAGCAAAACCCCTTACAGCTATAGCACTGCACACTAGACATATCACGATGCTTGAATTTCCCTTGAGCTATTTTGCTGTTGTGACATTGCTCCTTCTCCAATAATTCACCAAACAACCATCCAGAGATGGTATAGACTCGCGATTCATAAGACTGGACCTGCTGAATTCAAATTCAGTTCGTAATTTCATGAGAAATTGATCCCTTTTGATGACGTCATGTACAACCTCAAATTGTCAAGTGAAACCGAGGCATAGATAATTTGTGTTCTCAGCCCAAAGATTAGAAAAACTCGAACAATATTCTTCAATAGACCGTAAGTCTTGAGAAAAGTTCGCCAATTCAAATTTCAAGCAAAGTCGTTGAGTATTGTTACTTTGAGAATAGACCTTCTTCAAGAACTCCCACATCTCTAAGCTGACTTGTAAGGCCTGAGATTATGAACAATCTGTGCAGCAACCGATCCGATGGTCCAGGCCATGATTCGAGAATCTTTGGTCTTCCATGCAATATTCTTCTCCTTATCTAGCCTCTTGATCAAGAGGTGGAAGACTGCCATTAATATGTCCCCACAAATCACCTTTTTCTTTCAACCAATAAGTGAAAGTAAAATATCCATGAAGAGTAGTTCTTACAAGTAAAATAAATGCAAATTGAATTGATTTCTCAATTGACATGATGAAATCTTATACAACCCCGTCAAGAATTCATTAATCACAATATCCCAAAATCTAACAAATATCAACCCAAAAATTAAATTAAATAAAAAACAAGCCCAAATGTCTAACAATTCCAGCCCAACAATAAACAGCCAAATAAAGTAACAGCCCATATAAAACCACAATCCAATCTATACAAGGCTCATGTAACTGGAGTTGACGATGGTGAGAGGCAAGAGAAAGCCCAATCCACGTAGAGACTCGATCAACTAGAGACAGTGACGACAAGAGGTGAAAGAGAGACTACGACGACAAGCAACGAGAAACCCGAGACACTCGACCAAGAATTGAACGATTATTTCCTTAGAAATTGAAGACCACACAGGTGCGACGGTAACCCAAAAAATCCTATCTCCAAATACACACGTAGAAAACATCGAAGAGAACAAACAACCAAACGCCAATGATGCCTAAGACGCAAGTTCCGATCGGAGATTACTATGAATAGAGGATGATTGCAGCCTGCAGGATAACTGCCCAAGAAGCCAACCACGAAATACTATGAACAGAGAGCCAAAATCATATTTCACACGCAGGTGTAAATAATTTTAGGCTTTGATACCATGCCAATTTGCGGAATGAATCTTTGTTATGTATTACCTTACATTTATAAAGTACCATACATGTAAAGTAATTAATCCCAGATTCTATGCTGTGTAACTATACTATACAAGGAAACTCAAAAATTAAATTGCTTAAGATACATGTGCGACAAATTAAGCCTCTAATAACTAGGTCTACCCAGTAAAGCTACACTTGCTTCGAAAGAACAAGATATTTGATCCATGTAACATATTCTCACTACTTGTTCTAGAAATTCTGGAGTACAAAAAAATATTAAATCGATAAGTCATTTTATGTACGAAAATAAAGTTTTCCTTTTCTAGGAAATACTATCCAAAGCAATGTTATTCTATCTCATATCTGCCCATTAACCAACATTCTCATCTTTTGTTTCGGAAAAAAATCCTGGGTATGGAATTAGGGTGCTGAAGAAAAAAATTTCTTTTCCTTGAAATATAATCAAAACAATTTATAATTCATAAAATTATGTCTTCTCCAATATTTTTCATTTTGAAACAAACAGAGAGCATGTTTCAGTTTAGTAACTCAGCATACAAATATTTTCATTTCCCTTTTCTAACTATTTTCCTGAAATAACAATGTTATTAGACTCTAGCAATGCATTGCATGAAGATAAAAATAATAATAACAAGTGAAGGCAGGCTCAATGTGTCAATAAAATCATAAACTGTATCCTAAAATGTAAAGAACAACAATAAGTAGCATGTACGTATGTCTCCAATATTAGTATTACTATTCGTGTTGTAATAATATGTTGACAGAAAAATAAATCAATAGCCTCTAGAGTTTACCCATTTCCAGCAAAATCAAAGCGAAATGCACTGATTCCTTGGTATTCTAGAGCACTGGCAATGTTGATCATGATGTTGAACTCCTGCATATTAAATATGAGAGATGAATCCCACCACTAGGCACTGTCATTATAACTGACTGCCATTCTATCTAAGCTTTTTGTAGAATTTCTTTTTAATAATAAATACAAACTCTCCAAGATTTATACATATTTCAACGAATAACTAAAGTACGATTGCATGAGACTTCAATGACTTCATCTCTATCACAGGAGATTGAAGTAGATTTATATTTCCAGCAACCTTTCACCTATATTCAAAATTTTCCAGATTATGTACAATTGTGGTTGCCCTTGTTTTGATCATCAAATTTGTATGCAACATAAATTTAGGGTTATTTTGTTCACACTGCAACTGCAGATCTTAAATTTTACTGGAAATTTTTCTTTTTAGAACTTAAAACCCATTTTAGCATTAATTCAGGATGGTTAGATGAGCTGGACAATTCAAACGAGTTTTTCTCTGACTCCAATTGTCTAGGTTTCTGATATAAATTTAGATTTTCAAATCTAAATATGGCTTTAGAAATTAAAGTAATAGACAAAAATCCATGGCTAGAATTTCTCTGTGGTAACTGACTACAGGTTATCTAGTCATTAGTAAAGCTAGACTTTCCTTCTAAGCACTTAAATAAACTAATATTCATGTCAAAGTTTTGGTTGAATGATTTTCCCATAGAGATTCCTTACATTACATAGGAATAAGTACAATCTAATTATGGTAAGTGTAATTACAACATAAATACAATTATATACAGAAATATCCGTGGGTAATCTTGCTTACTCAATTCTCAGTGGAAACACAAATTTATTGGCACTTCATAATACAATAAAAAGACATATGTCAATGAAAGTTGTGAATTTGACTACTGAGAAAAAATAACCAAACCAAAAAAACACACAAACCTTCGAAGATTGAAAACCATGGCACAAAACTACAATTTCTGTAGATTCAGTCTCATGCAACACGCCCACAAGTCTTTCATTATGCTTATTCAGTATCGCCATTTTCCGCTGCTTAGCTGCAGAAAAAATGTAGTTATTACCTAGTTTGGTAACCACAAAAATCTAAAAATTTAGTAAGTTCCAACAATTACTTTCTACATAAAAGGTGAGACCTTATAAACAAGATGAACTCTTCTACATAATACAAATGGTGAAGGTATCAAATTTCAAGTAAACACTTCTATTTATTGAAGACCCAAAGTGGCATAGATTCAAACAAATTTTAGTTTCTTGACAAAATAAAACAACAATTATGCTTATTATAACAAATCAAGTAATCGAAGAAGGGGGAAAAAAAAGAAAAAAAAGAAAGAGAAGTATGGGATTGAGTAAAGGTGTAGGAGACTTGAAACATGACAATCATAAAATTCTATTTTAGTACAGCTTGTGAGTGTTTCTAACAGATTGTTTAATTATTCTTAGTTTATGATATATGAGAAAAATCTCCTGTTTGTGTGTATTTTTTATCCTAAATTAACTCTTTCAAATCGAATAATGAAATATGCAGAAATTTGCACGAGTCATATCTGTGGTACAAACAAAGAAAGATAATGTGAAGCAAAAAAAGTACTAATGGCTTAGAAACAACTGGCAAGTCAAGCTTCATTCACACATTGTATATCATGTATAGTACTATTCAATAGAACGAGATGCTCATAAAAAGGGAGTCTCGGCCACTGGAGCATATATGAATGGTGTTTTGACAAGAATGCACTGGATTACACATCCAGAACACACCACATCGATGTTACACAAGAAATGACACCATTTAGAGACAGAGAGAACCCATCTTCTCAAAGCCATTTCTTTCCTGGTGACTACCACAATAAATTTACTGTTAACATAGCACCAACCAAGAAAATCAAATAATTTGTATCATGAGTTCACATTACACTTCCAAGAATAGTATGATAATGAGGAATTGAGGCCCAATCATTCAAGAAATGATCCTGTTCCAATTTGAACGGACTTTCATGAATTCAGATTCTAAAATTCAATTTTCAGAATGTAAACGTAATGTTGACAAATTGATTATCATGTATCAATATCAATTATTCAATTACAACCCCAAATATTACAAAAAATGGGACGCTAAAATTCAACATCTGCCAGTATGTAAATAACATTCACTATCTTCATTATTCTACCTTAATATGATTATTTTCTACACTTCACATAATACGGATGCTTAAATTGGGATTTCAAAAAATTTTCTTGCCTGGGTTCTGAGCCATGATGGAGACCCTTAAGAATCAGATGCTGCGATTGCACTTACAAGTAAAGCGTACTTGTCGAAGAGTAAAATCTGGAGAATTGAATTAGAAACAAAAACTAAGGAAATATCATTCCAGTATTTTACAGAAATTTAGTGATCATTGAATTCACGTAAGCGAACCATACAAAGTGCAGAGGACAGCAGTCCCTCGAGTCTTAAAAAAAAAAAAAAAAAAAAAAAAAAAAAGTTGAACCCGAACCTTTAAGGGTCCGCCAGTGCCCCAATCCTATAGCATCGTGTGGGAGGTAAATCGCAGGTTATGACTCCAAGAGTACATAGTGAAAGGTTGCTTGTACACTTGCACTTATCCAAGAGTCAAATTCATATTTCAGATTCGAATCCTTGACGCAGCAGCCTCAAACAAAGCTGGATTTCTCCACCCTCCCTTTTGCCACTTGGAGATGTGCCCTAGACAGCAATTATCCAAAGAAGGAAACCATATTCTAGGATTAGCCACAGTTTGGTCAGATTAAAATCTAATTTTAATCTAATTTTAATCTAAAATAAAGTCCGACAATCATTATTAATTATTAATCATATATTTAATGAGTTCTACAACTCTTTAACCACATATTTCAAAAATTTTTATCAAAATTTACTTAAAATCTAATTTTAATCCACACCAAACTTCCTCTAAATTCCAACGACAGTAACCAGATTCTTAGAGATATTTCAATTGGATGGTTTAATTTCAATTTGTAGTGAGTTTTCATTCTAATTTCAAATTTCGTCACTCCTGTATGTTTATCAAATTGTTAAAATTTGCTTTAATTGTCAAATTTTCCAAGCAGTCGTTATGTGTCATGTTAAATTAACTATACCATGCCATAAAAGTATTAAAATAAAAAATATAGATATGCTTTTACATTAATATAAAGACATTATTAACGCGTATTTTATAATTTTCATTTATATGGTGTCATGCATTGCTTACGTAGAAGATCAAGTACGACTGTTAACTAAATAATTTCCATCATTATAGGGGCCTATAGGTGACCGGAAGAGATAAAGTCGTGAAATTTGAAATTAAATTGAAGTTCAATAATATTATTGAGATAAATTAAAGTTTAATGAATTATTTGAAATTTTTCTGAAACTTTAGTGACCATAAATGAAATTTCCCCATATTTTAGGACCACAAAGTTGTAGAGCTTTATCCATTTGACCCTCTTATGTGAAAATCTATAAGTTTAATACCGGACCATTGACCTGTTCATTTCAATAATTTAGAAAAATACAAATCCAATTCTTTCAATTGTCATTGACACGTTGGTCCTTAAAATTTTTTGGTCTCTGAATTTTAGAATATCAAAAATTAGTCAACAAATTTATTTATTTATTTTTTTTTTGTTGAGTCGCCTACTAAATTTAATCAAAAATTACTTACTAAGCCTCTGTTTGGTTTAGATCAAAAAAAAAAAAAAA